ATTCGGATTGCTAATTATCAAGTGACTTTACTACATGAAACAAAAACACGAAAGAGATTTCCTGGAACTCTTACTGAAATATTATCTAGAATCAGCAACTGCCCAAATGTTAATTTCATTGTATAAAAATAAGCTATGTTTTCAACTAGGAAGGCATTTTGGAAGATAACACGAATTTTGAAATAAAAACATTTGGCACAGAATGATCATTTACTGGACCACGTTGCTTCTTTATGTGGTTGTAAAGGGATGTGTTCAACAATGGCACCAGAATTCCCTGCTGCTGTGTAGTTTCCTACTTGTTGAACACAAAATGGTTTCATTGCAAAAATGCCATGACTTTGAGACACTCTCGTACAAAACAACTGTTTTTTTTCCCCCAGTATAAATAATAAAAATCTGTAGCTTAATTGACTTTAAACTATGTTTCAAGAGCAGCATGGTCTAGCAACACAAATACAGGCCTAGGATCCAAGAGAGTCCAACTTCTATAGCCAGTGCTTTCATTGACATGCTGTGCTTGGTATAATCTTTTCTGGGTCTGTTCCATTTTTAAGATGCCCAACTACCTCAGTATTTGAAGTGTAAGGATCTCTGTCGTGTGAAATGGGGATCCCATCACAACACTTGAAGCTTGAGGTATTACACCACCTGCAAGATCAGCCTCTTAAATGCACAGAGCTTTGCATTTTTGAAGTGTGATAAAGGGTGCCAAGTATCACTCAGAGAGAACTGAATGTACTAATGAAATTGGGGCATTATGCCTACTCATAAATGTACATCTAATTGGCGAGTTGTTACTGCTTTGAGACTGAAAGACTTTTATCTCAGATATTGTTATAACAAGTTTTGAGAGGTGTTAACATAATTAAATAATAATTAAAACATCACTTAAGTGAAAAGCGGTAGGCTTTTGGCACACAATTTCCTACCTGTATTTTTTTCTTAAAAGAAAGGAAAATAATAAACAGAAGTTCTATATGCAGCTGCTACAAGTGCTCTGTTCTGTATGCATCACTGGTGAAGTTTGAATCCAAAACCTTTGGTACTGCCTGAACTAAAAAACTAATTATAGTAGCTGACAGCATCAAGAAGCTGCTATCCCGTATACAAGAACACAAGCTTTCAGTGCCAAATTCTCGGTCTAGTATACAGCCATGCGAAACCTGATCAAGTTTTCTCCACCCCCCACTGCAGGAGTCGGGGGGAGCTCCCTCCCCACGGAATACCGCTAAGGCTGGAAATCAGATGGGCTATTGAGGAGTGCTTGGTCAGGGCAAGGCCTGGACCAGCCCTATCCAACTCCCCTGCAAAGGTTGCCTGCTTTTAGGCTTCCTGGCACAGCACAGTGTTACTCCAGCAGCACTGACAAGGCTTTAAGCCTTAGTTTAGACCATTCAAACTCAAGATGTAGCAAGCCTAAGTTTTGCCAACAAAATGAACATCAGTCGGATTGTACCATAGACAACCCTGAATGGAATATTGTGGGACAAGGAAGAGACATTTCTCTTGCCTTAAGCCTTCTCCCCTGACAAGTTTCAAAGGACTGCTACACACAGTGGAACTTTCAAAGCTTTCTCCAAAACGGAGTTCTTTGCAGCATATGGTTACTGTAAGAAATGGAAATAAGAGAATTCAAACATTCCAATTTTCCAATACTCCTCCTCCTTCCAATCTTTTTTTTTTTAAAGGCCTAGATTAATTTTAGAGACGTACATATTCCTTGATACGTGATATACAATCCATACAGAATTTAACTGTAAGATTGCTTTAACAAGTACTAAGATTCCTCAAATAAATATGCGCAAAAGATTATGTTAAAATAAATAAAAAAATAAATTCACTTTTGAAATGATCTTGAATAAGTCTTTTTAAAGAGACTCAGCTGCTGCTAACACTTTTTAAAGCAGTTTTAAAAAACTCCCAAAAGGACGTATTTGTTTTTAAATGACCTAAAAACAAATACCAATAAGGATATACAATCCACTCATTTCTTAGCCAGTGCAAAATCCTGGTTCCACTGAAGTCAATGGGAGTGTCAGTGACAAGATTTCACTCCAGGAGGGCCTATAGTTTCAACAAGAAGTAATACCCAATAGAACTTAATATGAAGTACATTCTTAAAGTCCTTACTGAACTTCAGGAAGTTATTTCACTCATTTTTTTAAATAAAGAAAAGCTATCTTCTCCAGTTGGGAATGACATCATTTGCTCCCCTTGGAAGGTCTTGTAACACCACTGTCATTGATGATATGCTAGTGTGTGTGTGTACGTACATACGTATGTACGCACGTACGTACATGTGAATAATTATATATATGAATGAAGTTTCTACCTCACCATAGAAGGTAGAAATGTCTCTTGTATCAGTGCATCAGCTACAACTTTGATGTTACATATACCGTTTAAACATATACTTACCAGGTACGTAAAATCCGTTTCAGATCTATATATTTTATATTGTTTCGGGAGTCACGACCTGCTTTCCATAACTTGCTGATCTGTAGCTAAAGCAATACTGAGCTGCATTTGGTGCACATCCAATTATGGATTTCTTGTCAATTTTCTTTAATATTAGCTATTATTTATTTAGTTGCACGTTTGCAGTCCTGACTACAAATACTTATGCAGGTGGAAATATTTTCACTGAAATCAAAGGAACTATTCTTGAAGAACATGCACATCTGCAGGTATGACATTGAAATCTGCAGAGAACAAACTTTTTTTCTAATGCTTGGATTATACTGCACTAAATACTTTACTGTTACAAAACTAAGAGCATGTGGCATACTTACTCAGCATTTATTTAAGAACAAGTTACCCTTTATCCGCATGGTGATACAAACAAGTTTGCAGAAACAGATTTTAGGAAACCGACACAAATCATTACTGAAATTAACGAAAACATGGTCCAGGGAACAGCAGAACCTCAAAGCCCTAGCAGCATCAAACCACTGTATTATACTTCTTTTGGGGTGTCATGCTCAATAAGAATAGGGAGCTCTACATCTCTGACAGATCTTATGATCGGTAAGGTCCCTTCCAGGCCCTAACAACTATGAAATGGATCTTCAGCAGCGAGTTGCCAGGAGTTTCAAAGTAGGCTCCACTGTCCGTGACCACTACTAGGAACCATCTCAACCAGAACGGAAAGAGCACAAGATAAAACTATAGCGCAAGTGTGATGCTACAGCCGCGATGGTCCAGAAATGATGCAAGAGGCAAGGATTTCTTGGCGTGATTGCTGGTGCGATGAAAGCTGAGTTGCTGGGATGAAGTCAGACAGGCTTCCGAATGCAAGACCCAAGGAAAATATCTTTTATGAGACTGTCATTGGGATAAAGAGAGAAGAGAGAAAAGCTCGCAACAGCAAGGCATTCTTCCCCGCGTCTTGCATTCGAAAGCTTGTCTTGCTTGATTCTAACAACTTTTTAGTCCAATACAAGATAACTCTGTTGCTGGGACTGAGCGAGACTAGCTTTCGATGGCAAAAAAAACACTGAACCATTATTTAACTAGGAACAATGGCCACAAACTGACGGAGAGCAGATTTAGGTTGGACATTAGGAAGAACTTCTTCACAGTGAGGTTGGCCAGCATCTGGAATGGGCTCCACGGGAGAGGGTGCTCTCCCCTACCTGGGGGTCTTCAAGAGGAGACTGGACAAGCACCTGGCTGAGGTCAGTGCTCTTTCCTGCCCAGGGCAGGGGACCAGACTCGATGACCTACTGAGGCCCCTTCCAACCCGAACATCTATGAATCTATGAACCTGAGGATTTGACAGCTTGCCTCACTCGACGCCAATGACATTATCAGTCATTTTTATTGGGCTAACGATGCTGCTGGGACCCAGCAACGAGGCTGAGTTAGGAAACCTTGCCTCGCCCTCAAAAAACTCGTCTTACTCAATCGCAGCGACAGTGCTGCACGTTATCATGGGATCAAGCCAGACAAGCTTTTGAGGGCCAAGCAAGGGGGATTTTCTTTTGACAACACCGTCTGTCCAATAAAAGCCGGACCCGTTCTCGAGGGAAGAAGGCCGGCACATGAACGCTCGTCTGGCTGGATCCCAAGGATGCTGCCGGCCGCATGACAGGTGGGGGCGGAAGAAACCCCTGCGTCTCGGTCCCACGCCCCCGGACGACAGGGAGGGGCCCAGGGGAGCGCGCGGGCTCCCGGCCACAAGGTGCCCCCGGGCCCCAGCCTCGGAGCCGGACCCCGGGGCAGGACCGGGGATGGAGGAACGGAACTCGCTCCTCACAGCGCCGGGGGCGCGGACCGGCCCCGCTCGGCCCTTACCCAGCTTGACGGCCGAGTCGGCCAAGCAGCGGTCCCACTTCTTGCCCAGGTCGCTCTCCGCCGCCATCTTGCTCCCAACCCCCGTCACCGCTCAGTCTCGCGAGAGTTGCCGCCGGCACCGCAGCGAGTGTCGCGAGAAGTCAACCTCCCCCCCCCCCGCCCCAGCTTGACCTTGACCATCCCATAATAATACGGAAGGAGGGTTTCCGCCCTCCCCATGGCTCCTTGCCTGGAGAGCTTGGCACTCACCCCCACCCCATTTAATCCCTATTCAAGAACTGGAGAAACACATACAGCTCCTGCGGGAGACAGACAGATGCGGCTTGCCATCCGCACCCCCTTGTTCAAAATCCAGATCTGCCTGCAGAGCCTGGTGCCACCCCACCAGAGACACAGGCCGGGGGGCACATCACAGCCAGCCTCAATCCCTCTGGTGACCTTGTGAGACGCCTTCTGCTCGCCTTAGGTCCCTAGGACGCAAAGCGAGTGCCGGGGAGCGCAACGGTGCGGGGAGGCGGCCCGTGCTGGAGTCCCAATACACGTCAACGTGCTAGCGTGGTGCTACGAGGACTGGGGCACACCTGTTGCCATTCTCGCTGGGTAGCTCAGGCAGCCCCCACTTCACACTCTGAATTGATTCCTGTAAAAACGAGCGTTAAGTGAAATGAGCTTTAAGTGAAACCAACAGTATTTGGCAACCCAAGGTGGCGACCACAATTGTTTTTAATGAACCAAGATGGCGACCATGAAGATTATAACAAAACTCGCTCAGCACTAAGTGAAATCATGTACAGGCAACCTCCATTTAGCACTCTTTGTTGGTTCCTGAAAAAACGAGTGTTAAGTGAAACAAGCATTAAGTGAAACTGGAAGTATTTGACAACCCAAGATGGCAACTGCAAGCATTATAATGTAACTCGCTGAGCGCTAAGTGAAATCACATATCAATTTAAAATGAGCAAAATAGCGCTAAGCAAAACAGCATTTTGCCTGTAGTTAGGACACTCTACTGAGTTTTGCTCCCCATTTCTGTTCACAGACGTAGGAGTCTGCCTACCCGGATCAAAGAAAGGGTTGGGGGTTCGCACATCAACGGCTCCGTAACTGGTTACTGCGACAGCAAGACACAAATAGGGATTTCTGTTTGAAAATCCTAAACAAGCAGTGGTATAGTTTAAAAGACAGATTTGGGAGTAGAGACTGGGGCAAGGAGTGTTCACGTGTGTTAAAAGAACGGTGAGCAGTTGGGTAATGGGTTTGCCTTGGGTTTTTTTTTGGTTTCTGCTGTAGCATAGGTAGTGTCTTTATTGTTCTGGGTCACAAATCCTATTTCCTTTCCCACAGAATTGAGGTTTCTCTACCACACAGAGGAAGACCTTCTAGAAATCAAATCACATCTATCAAATAACGGACTGAAGCTAAGAATGGAAAGTAAAAATACCCCTACAGGTTTTCCAGCATTCTCTAGGGCTTTCTATTACTGATGTGGCCTCTGGCTTAGGAAACTGCCTTTGTGCCGTTACAGTTTTTGATCTAAAGAAAGAATGGACGAGTTCCTGATCTTGGTTTAGTTCAAACCTCCTTCTGGAAACTGTGTAACCCTCACTATGAATGATTTTTTCAAAAAAATTCTAAGCAGCAAAGGTTTATTGCCGTTGAAATGTAATGGATTATCCCAAATAGCAGACCATTTTAAAAACCCTTCCCAGAGGAGTATATTCCAGTCACAATATAAGACAATTATTCCCCTTCCCCCTCACCAGTTTTCTCAAATTAAACATCATTGCCTTATAGCTAGCATCCATCCAAGAGAGAGGCATGCATCAAGTTACTTATGAAAATACCAACAGGGTAATGCAGTTCTTTCCCTACCTGGATTAAGAAATGTTTTCTAAAACCACAGATCCAGTGGCACGTCCCATTGTGCCAGCACCGCCCTCCATTTTCCAAACACTTTGAGTTCTGGAAAACGTCAGAAGAGAGAAGATGCTTGGGGCTTCCAAATATGTTTTAAATTCCTCACTCCCCTCCACACCAAATCAAATTCCAGAAATCAGAATTTAAAAATAACCAAGAAACGCAATCTTGGCAAAAACAAACTCTCAGCACAGGCCAATGTGCAGTCTCACTTCACACTTACTCATTTTCAGGCTCGTAGGCTTGCTGTAAAGCCTGTTTCTTTGGGGACAGAGGAAGAAGCAGTGAGCATTTGGATTCAGAGCTAGGCTCACTTTACTAGGGGTCACACTGCTGCACAATGGGTCTCAATGCCTTTGACAGCCTTGCATCGGGAACCTGGTGTACTCAACCCCATCTAAGGAGATGGAATTGTTCAGCATAATTGTTTTGAACGTCCAGCTTCCCTTGGAGAATTCTGTCTGCTTCTTTTTAATCCTGGAGTCACTGAGTGATCGGAGAGGGCTCTGGAAAACGTTATCCATTAACAATCTAGAATCCATTCTCTTCCTCCTGGGAAAAATTAATGCAGGAGGGAATGTGTCCAAAGACAGGCTTTTCTCTTCATTGCCATAGTTACTTGGCAATTAAACCCTTTCAATGTAATATTGAATATTTATTATTGTATGACTCCAGGGTGACGTTTTGAATATGCTGTTTGAAAAACCTCTTTTTACATTTCACAGCCTAATGTACACTGTTTCCCTCCTCCCTTCCCACTTCCTTCTAGCCTGTTTTGTGAGCATAATAGATGCATATATGAAAGCACAGAGGAGACTGGGGGCAAGAAGAAGCCAGAAAGCCTTTCAAAATTTGTAGCTGCCTTTAAGTTAACAGAGGGCTAAATTCTAGGCTCAGGCTCTGTGTCAGCCTCCAAGTTAAGCAGGTGTCTAACTTGAATTGTATGCTCCATCAACGAGAATACTCACATGCTTAATTAGGCATTTGCTTAAGTACTCTGCTGATTAGTTCTTCCATCTGTAGATGTCCGTCACACAGCCAGAAGTGATGGAATGTATCCACCAGGCTTTTGCCCCCTGGAACAGTCACTCCAGCTTCACATTATTATCAAGTGAGGTTTCCATTCAGGGAGCTGGTGTCTCACTCAAAGCAATTCTGTTGTCTTGCAAGACAGATGCGTACCATGCAGATGAATGGACATTCCTGGGTAGGGTCTGAAGGCATGGCCAATATATATTTCATGCATGTATACTGTGTGTCAGCAATGAAATTTTTGGCACAGTCAGCTAGATCAGGCCTTCAATGGGTAAGCTCCTCAAAGGGCTGGCTGTAATCAAAATATCATCACTTCAGGTGCTGTTGTATCAGGTCTTGCTTGAGGTTCACCCATATTAGCCAGAATTTTGGATACTCCCCTCCCCTCTCTTTAGAATACAGATCTATTTCTTTTTCAAAATCTTTTTACCTTGGTTTCTGCTTTTGCAGCGTGAGATGGGAGGAGGCGGCAAGTGGACGGGAAGAAGGGGTGGGTATTTCAGTACTTCATGGTTAAAAAAAATTCCAGCCAACTTTACTATCCATCAGAGCTTGAGCTTGGACATCTTATGGAAGCCTTGTAAGACCTTTTTTTCATTTGAGCTGGCCTTCAGCAAGTGGGGTTAAGTTTTGCGGCACTGTCTGGGGAGTTTGTTCTATTGCATATTATTTAATACTTGTATGTGGCTTCATAATTTCTCCAAATTTTATTGTAAGCTGCTCTGAGACTCTTCCAGGGAGGGCAGCATATAAATCTAATAAATAACTAGCTTTTCCTAAGAAGAGTGTATGGCCCTTTGTTATTGTATTTGGCATCACTTCAAAGATCCTTGTAGCATCTCTCTGCCTGGATTGTGTCTTACAGGATTGTACTGACTGCTAGTTTCCTCCTAATCTCCCCTTTTCCAAAGAATTAAGACTTAATTTCTCCAATATTTTTCAATAATGTTAATCCCCTCCCACACACAAATCACTCTTGCCAAGAGCAGCAGTAATCTGCATAGGACATAAAAGTGTAGGAAGCATCTGCTTGACTTGGTACACACACCCTCATAGAGAGGCTTCCATCCCTTTATGTCTCCATGCA